CTACGACGCTCTGCCTAAATTAAAAAGCAACCAATCGGAACGGCCGGAAGGGGGGCCGCGCGTCCTGAACCAGTCATTCCGGGCCTGCCAATCACCCAGCGGGTAGCCAATCAGCGGGGACCCTGGTGCTCGACTTCCTTGTATTTGGGAAAGTGTGGTGGTGGGTGCGCGCTCGCGGCAGAGGGTAAACATTCGACAGTCCCTGCTCTGAGAGGGAGGGACAGAGAGCGAACTGTCAGATCCAAGCGAGAGCGGGCGCCCGAGCGCGGGAGAGAGAGGGAGGGAGAGGAAAAGTGAGCTAGGGAAGGAGACCAAGAACCGGGGCGCACAGCGAGCTCCCTCTGCAACTCAGCTCCCGCACGGCCAGCGCCAGCGCCAGCGCCCGCCGTCGGTGCACTCTGCGAGCCGTACACCGTGCCCACAGGAGTTGGTTGTGTATCAAGGAACCCCTATATGCACACACACACATCTCCATCTCCACCTCCACCTCCACCAATGCACTCTTCTTCCTCCTCCTTCTCCAGACAACTGCGGAGGAAAAAATAAAACACCAACCCCAACCGTCAGCAACAAGGTAACAGAGCAATTCGACATTTTTTTTCCTGTTCAGTTTTTTCCTTGTTCTATTTGTTTCCTAATTTTTGCCCAAAAGGAAAGATGTCGCATCAGACTGTGACTGTTGCGAGGAGAATGAAAAGGGACTCTTGTTTCAGAGGCAACCAAGAGCTCCAGCAATAGCAACTTCAGAGAAATGCATCCTCGCAAGAAGTTTCGCTAGGACAGAGCAAAACTTGAAAGGAGAGGACCAGAGGGGGAGAGCAGGAGCCAGTCTCCCCACTCCGCAGACCCGAGCAGCCAGCACCACCACGCCTTCAAGGACGAAAAAAGTTTTACTATGCTGAGGGAAACCGAGTGAAATGTGTTCCTGAGGAGAGCCGAGAACCGACCAGCCTAGGCACCGGCCGAGTGCTGGCCACCCACAATTTGGCCAAGGAAGAAAGGAGCAGCTCCATCCTTTGTTGTCTCGCGTGAAACCTTCGCCTAGCAGGTGGACCGAGCCCCGCGCCGGGGCAGAGTCCGCGCCCGCCCGCCGAGGACAGAAGGAGGAGCGGGAGCCCGCACGCCCCGGGAGAGCGCCCGAAGTACAGGTTCCCGCCCCGCTGCGCGAGCCCCGCTGGAGCGAGCCCACTGCTCCGGGCCGGGGGGAAGGCCACGACCCCCCGTGAAGGGGCTGGCCACGGAGCTTGGCCCGAGAAGCGATCTCCCCTCCCCAGGGCGCCGCTCCTGCTGCAGCTGCGGCTGCTGCCACTGACCAGGGCGGCCCGGCGACCCCCACGCCCTGCCGAGCGGCCTTGCAGCTGCAGCCCGGGGCCGCGGCGGCGG